AGAGAACATGCAAGGGTGACTTTGCAGGGACAGCACTCCATGCGCTTTCAGCAACCTGAAGTCGCAGTGAGACAGTTACCGTATTCTTCGGACCGTAAGACGCACCTAGGTGTTAGAGGAGGAAAAGAGGGGAAAATTTTTTTTGAAGCAAAAAATGTGGTAAAATATTTAATAACATAAATGACATAATATTTCACCAGTATACATGTAAACAGAACTCAACAGCAGCATTAACAACCATTGTGGATGGTTATTAATTTGTGGGGGGAGGGAAAAGTGTGTCTTATAGTCCAAAAAATACGGGATTATGTGACATCGAGCATGGTTGTATTTTAAAGAAGAAAGTTTGATGTGAACTTGAATATTTTATGATTTCCTCATTTCACATAAATGAGGAACATGAGAAAAGGACCCACGCACATCCCAAACAGGTGTTTTAGGCAGCGACATTATCCCCCTTACTAAAGATGTGACTGCACTTTTTCAGTGTAATGCCTGGGGCGCCAAAGCCGCTCCTGAGAGCCCCTCTCCCCTCAGGGAGCCAGGAAAGCGCCCTCCCAGGGTCACTCCAGCCTTTCCGCCTGTGCAAGCAAATGACTTAACCTCAGAATTATGGCTTCAAATATTTCTCCAGCTGCAAAGGGTCATTCATCTCGAGCACCATTTCCATTCGGTAATGACCGCGAAGCTGAGGCCTGACTGCGGACCTTGAATCTGACCGGTGTGGACGCCCGGCGGACCGGCTTTCCGCGCGCGCCCCACCAGGCGCTGGGAGCACGTGGGGACAGTCACCCCACCCTCCTCTTGTGCTCCGTGTGCGTCCGGAATCATATCGGCTGTAGATGAGCGGGGCTCACCCGGGGACTTCTGCAGCTCGGTTCACAGGGCTACGACGTGCTCCTTGGGTGGGTATTTTACACGGAGCCGGTCTTCCCGCGCGGCTAGCTCACTGCACCGCCCCACGAGCACGCTCCCTGGAGGGCTCCTGTGCTGCTTTTTCCATTCTCACTTCTGCCTCTCTGTCCGCGCTTATTTGTTTTTTAGCAGGGGTTGACTCCTCGCCGAAGGATCCCTCGTGCGAAGACAAAACGACCTGGAGGAACTCAGAGTTTCCGCCTTCTCTCGCCGAAGTCGAATTCCTTCCCTCTGCATTGGTTGTTTTCCTTTCCCGTCCTGAAGCTGGAGACCCGTGGCGGATGCCCGATCCGCACCATAGCCCCACTCACTCCAGTGTGGATATAGCCAAGGGGGCTACGAGGTGGTAGCAAACGGGGCATTTCAGCTGCGAGAGAAAAATTATTCACAGAAGGAGGCAAGTGCAATGGGCCGGAAACCGACGCAAGCTCCGCCGGAGTGAGACGCAGTCGCAAACCCTAAGGTGCCTCGGAGACAGACACAAGCGGACAAAGGCACCTTGTAGAAACCCATCTGTCTTTCATCCCCACGCAGAAACTATGGCCCTGAAAGATAGAAATCTTGAATCACTTAGTAATCCATCTCCAAACAAGTCATTAATGTCCATCGCACAGTGGAAGAAAATTAGTTCTGTAACAGCTGAGATACTTGCCAACATCAATTGCCAAATAAGGACCACTGAGTAGCTGGAGTCAGAGGCTTCTGGCGTCTCTCCTAGGGCCTGCCACCCTGACCTTCACAGCCCGAGAGAGGTTATCCAAACATCGCTACAATGCCGGGGTTAAGAACCTGCCTCCTCTTACACACACTGACGAATACAAGCAACAGAAAAGATCTGTGTTCCTCTCCTGTTGCTTCGTTTTCCCTACAGCAACAGAAAGTTCTGAAGGACAGAGGGATGGGCCCTGAAAGTGCATTTAACTTGAATTTCTTTTCCTTTCAACTCTTAATTAAATGCTTCAAGTACAAACAATCTAAATATGTGGCAAAATTGCCCAAGACACAATGTCACATTGAATCTGACCCGACAAATCTCAGTGAGACATAAGATATTTTCAAGACCTGTAACTCATCAACTATTTTTTTCAAAGATTACAGTGCTAACGAACATGTAGCATGCATTCAACGTGCACCGCGTGCCGGGCACCGTGGTGTTGTGCGCAGAACACACTTAGTCCTCACGCCCAAGAGCACACTTAGTCCTCACACCAGTCGGGAGGCGTGCACTACTGTCATCAGAGAGACCGGGAACTTGTCCAAGTTGTCCATTGTGTGGGGGGTGGAAATGAGTTTCTCGGTCAAATCTTTCAAGTTCCAGTTGAGAGCCTTCCTTCTTAACCTGATTAAACATTCTCACTTAAAGTTTCCTGTTGTTTGATACAAGGGGGACCCCCCAAAACTTCCTCCTTCTGGAAGGCAGGCCCCTTGTAGTACAGGTTCCCCCCGCTAGGTGAGTGTTCTAGGAGCCCATCTGTGTCACTGCACTAGCTGACATTGTTGCGAGAGGCTGTGTTCGACTTCAGTGATTCTTTCTGAAGACCCTTTCGATGCATCTGCCCATTTCATGATGGGTGGTTCACGAGCGCACCTGCCCACACCGTGCTGAGTGCTCAGCAGTGTTTGACTCAGAAGTGGCATGACCCTGTGCCCCACCCTCCCTGTTCACCCAATCTCACCCCAAGTCAATTTTTTGTTTGTTTGTTTCCCTGGATGAAAAAATTCCTCAAAGGGAGACATTTTGCTGACATGGAGAAAATGAAACAAACAAACAAAAAATGGCAGAAGCACTCAAAGCTATCAAAATTGACGAGTTCAAAAACAGTTTTGAGCAGTGGAAAAAACGTCCAGATAGGTGTATTGCATCAGATGGAGAGTGCTTGGAAAGTGATGGAAATTTAAACATGTTAGAATAAAAACACGATTTTTCATAAATAAATTCCAGGGGTTTTGGGGGGTTCCCCCCTCCTATCACCTACTCTATCTCCATACTTACGGGGATCTGTTTAGTAAAAACTAAGAGTCAAGAAGGTATATTTGCATTACATGAGACTCCACGCTGCTGGCGTGGACAGCCAGACTCAGCGGGTGTGAGCGGTGACAGATCGGGATGGTGCGCCCACTCTCCTACGGACACTAGAGGCGGAGACGCACCGCGTACTGGCCGACTCGAGACTGGACCAGGCGCTCACCCATCAACCGCTCGCTTTGGCGAGGGGAGCGTGGGTAGCTCAGACTGCAGTCTGGGCGCTCCTGAAACCTCAGGTACAAGCAGCCTCCCCTGCCCCCAACTAAACAGCTCCCCCTTGAGGTGGATGGAGGGGAAACGGGAAAACAGAAGCCTAGGAAAACAAGTCAGAATCAAGCAAACGGAATCCTTGCGTCCTGTCCCAGCAAAAATTAACACACAGAGTCAACCTAAAGAAAGATCGTGGAAGGAATTATCTCAAAATGTAGCTGCAGGATAGAACACACACTAACGTCCGTGGGTCAGCGACCCCCTAGGTGTGGCCCAGCCTACTCAAGGTCTTCCCTCTCGTTGCCTGAGCAAGGAGGCCCTTCTCCCCGCTCCCTCCCGGCTGTCGGTACAGCTCGGCTCCCCCCCCCCCTCCAGGGCGGCTGCACTAGGGGCCTCATCCCTCGGTGCGTGGGCTGCTCCACAGGGCAGCCCACACAGGCAGGCGGGTGGCTGTCCTCAGAGCAAGCATGCGAGACAGCGGAAGACGGCCGAGGCAGTCTTTGCATGACCTAGTCTCGGAAGTGATGTCCATCACGTCTGCCACATTTTACTGCTGAGAAGAGAGTCCGTGAGGCCAGCGCACATTCAGGAGAGGAGAGTAGCTGAGAGTGAATGAACGTCGGGCAGGACGTGGGGATTTTTTAAGGACCGCCTTAGAGCCGTCTCCTATGATGCGCGCATTTGCATGTGTGGGCGTGTGTGGGGGCGTGGGGTGGCCAGAGGTGGCGCATGGGGTGGGGCCAGTAGAAGCCTGAGCTCTTACGGACTTTCTCCAAAGGAACGCTAAAGAGGTGGTGTGGTGGTATCGCCCTTACAGGGAACAGATGGCAGTCACACATTGAGAATATACGCCAGTTTAACAGAGGGGCTATTTACGAACTGCGGATAAGAGTAAGGAAGTGCAAGGAGCAGTGGATTTCTCCAAGGGCTACACCGGCCTGGCGCATCACAGCCCCGACGCCTGAAGCAGGAATCAGGGCCAGAAGAGAAGGCCCCCAGACAGGAGCTCTGACTTTCCACCTGTGAAGCAGTCAGCTTCTGACATCTCCACGGGGAAGGTGTCGGGAATAAATGGCTGACTGGCTCTCTCCCGGCACCTGCAGGCACCACCCGCTGGGGGAACCCAGCTGGAAGCCAGAGGGCAAGAGGGTCCCCTGATACTGTCAGTACAGCTCAGCCTCCAGGGCACACGGTAACCGGGGGCGGACCTGGAGGGACAGTCAGAAGACACCCGGGGCAGAAACAAAACGTGCACTGAAAGTCACATCACGATGGGCGGAGAGCAAGGAGCGGGCTTCCCCACGAGGTGTTGTCTAGAGCAAGCTGGACGGGAGAGTCCGCTAGCAGAAGGGTATGGAACACCAGAACGGGCTCCCGTATAATCGTGTCCTTGAAGACCCTTCAAAATGGGAAACACACACCCACCTCCACGAGAGGAGTCCGGCGGAATCGTCCTGATGAAAGGGGGGTGGGTGGCTGAGACGACTTTGAAGGGTCCTTGTAACTTGAGGACTCAGTGCTCCAGGAGGAATGGATGAAAATCAGGGAACAGGATCCCTTGCAAAATATTCACAACTCTTTGAAATGGAAATGAGGCCCCTCTGATTCAGGGATCCGAGGAAAGCGAAGGGTCAGGGTGTGAGCAGCGGTGGCAGTGGGGGGCGGAAGCAGGAGGTGCGCTCTTGCCCGGAGGAGGAGGCAGGCTCTGCTCAGCCCCTCTCGTCTTTACTTAGCACCTGCTGGCTTGGAATGGTGTCACCCAAGCAATCAGACGGCTGGAGGTGCCAAGCGCCTGACCTCTGGTGCCGGCTACACCCTCCCCCAACACCTCATGACGGCCCGTCCTGATATAGATGGACAGGGCACTGGTTTAAAATGACAGTCTCAAGTTCATGTGGGAAGAGAAAGCTAGTTCAAAGGAGCAGCCGGGCGAGCCTCCTCTCTCTCGGAATAACATTAGCCCCCCTTCCCCATGGCCCACCTGGGAGCCCACTTCGCCTTTAGGTCCCGCTGGCAGAAGACCGACGATGACCTCTGCCGACACAGCATGTCCTTTGTCCTTCACAAAGCCATTCAAAACGACTTCTTCCAGAGCTATCTGTACCTGCTGGAAAAAATCCCCCTGGGTAAGTGAGGCAGAGCTGCGAGATACGGAAGGGGACCGGACTGCAGGGGCTGTGGGAGGCGGTGGGGCTGCTGGAAGAGCAGCCGGAACAAGGGCACCTCTCAGGCGGGCACGCAAAGAACCCACGGAGGTGTCAGCGCGCTTGAATGTGTCAATGGCATTCCTCGCGGAGGGTGCAAAGACCCAGTGCTGCCAGGCGAGTCGGGTCTCTATTCTGGGACTTCCATGCACCCTCACGCAGAGTAACTTGCTTTTCTGGGTGTTGGTTAACTGAGTATCAGGCTTACAGACACTCAGTTCTGTGTTTAAGAGAAAGGTGGGAACATGGGGCGACTCAAAGGTGAGAGTACAAATGCAGTAATCACATCAACTAAGAGTTAAAAAGAGAGACTGGTAGTGATAGATCACTGTGTCCTAGTGTGTGCACACGTGTGTGAGTGTGCATGCTTCCACAGGCCACATGATCCTTTAACAGACCGTTTAAAGGGAGCAGATTTTTAGTTTGGTCTTTGAACATGAAGAAAAAAAACCTGGGGCAGCCGTGTGTCTCCATTGCAGATATTTCCTCTAGTGTTCAGGGAATGAGACGATAGGGCCATAAAGAGCTTATCTGGTCTGTCTACACCTCTTTCCTCAGTCTCCGTGAAAGTGGTCACTCCGGGGCACTCTCAGCAGCTCTGGAAAGGAAATAACTTCTGATTAGGGAGCAAAGTACCCGCCTTTGATTTATGCCCCCCTGCCCCGCCCCAACCCCGGCGAGAGCAGAAACAGGGTATGGGTCCCAGGCTGTTTTCTCAAGGTTGCCTGAAAGCCCCATTGTGCACGTGGTGTGGCGGGGGTCCAGACGCGAGAGGCACTCCATAGCCTCTGAACTCCACTCGAGAAACCACGTGCCAGCCGTCCGCCACAGCCTCCTTTTATTTAAAAAAAAAAATCGCCATTTCTGAGGCGATTTCCACTTCTGGACATACAAATGCTTCCCTCCCATATTTACGTATTTCTCACACACCCTCACAGCCACGCTATGGGGTGTGTGGAGTGTCATTATTTGTTTCCTCTGCTCCCCAGCCCCTTCTTATTTCTGCAAATGGGGAAGAGAAAATGCCCAGGTGACAAGCTCTGGCCAGTACCCAAGCCAGGGCTCCTTCAGGTACATCACACTGCAGGTAAATGATTGTCTTAAAACACTAACGACAGTGGACGAGGGGCAGAAGACTGCCGCATTTTAAAAATAGTGACTAGAGACAAAAAGAATGACTAGAGACTAGTTTCTCTGAAAGTAGTTAAGAATGAATTGAAGAGTAAGAATAAAACAGCCCTTCCTGAAAATTATTTGGGACAAGTAGAGAATAATTGACATTCGGCCTCGATCTTCTTTTCTCTACCCAGGATAGTCATTTGGATTTTATCTGTATCCATTGGGAATGTGCTGGTGGTTTATCAGTGATTTCCAGCCTTTTAGAAACATTTGCTACTAAAGTCAAACTAGAGGAAAGTCTTCCATGGAGGCCCAGAGGGCAACACAGGGAAAGTGAGGCTTCTCCGCTGTCCCGCTCCAGCCTCCTGGCCTCCTCACTGACCCTGGGGCACTTCTGCGGCGCCCCCGGGGCTCCATAAACACAGCGGGGAAACCGTGAACTGATTCTAAGCCAGAGCGGACCCCGCTTACTTAGCTGGTTTTCCACATCCGGGTCCTGCTCGTTTTCCCCTGCCCTGTGACTCAGCCCAGACAGCGGTCCCTGAGACCAACAGCTCGGGCCCCACCCCAAGTGTCCCTTTGCTTTTGACCACCGAGGGCTATTTTAATCGGCATGGACCAGGCTAGTCTGCGGTGATAAATCAACCCTGAAATCTCAATGGCTGGACATATAAAAGTTTATTTTTTTACTTGGCTACGTCATTCCGACGTGCATTACTGGGCAATGCAGGGGCCGCGTTCCAGGCAGGCCTCCAGGGATCCGGGGTGATGAAGGCTCCACCACCTAAGATGTCACTACTCACCGTGGCAAGGGAAGACAGGCGCTAAGGGGTGCCCACCGGCGCTTGCATCTTTTGCCCCAGGAAGACGTAATTACTCCTGTTGAGAGATCATTGCCCAGAACTAGTCCCGTGCCCCCACCAGCAAGGGTGCTGGGCTGTGAGGGGGGCGCATGCACATTCGGTTGCTAGTACACGTTGATGCTGCGGGGGAAACTGTGGCTTTTTAGAGAGAGAAACACCAGGCACTTCCTCTCCTGGGTCAATTCGGTTCTGATCAGTGCAACAGGCCTCACGGAGCTCAGATCCTCCCACGCACTGGAGAAGACTCAAACCTTAAAAAGACACAGTCTCTGTTCTTCAGGGTTTTATAATCTGGTAATGGAGACACATCTACAAGTAACTTTTTGTTCATCCTCAAAAGCCATAGATTGAGGGTGCAGGGAAGGCAGACTCTCAGCTCTGTGAATACTCAGAAGTTTTGCAGCTTTTTCTCTTCTCATGGCAAAACCTGAAGTACCTCTAATGTGGCCAACGGCATAAGCTCTGGGCGGTGTGGCAAGGAGGCGGCACTTACGACTCATCTGCCAGCGTGCCTGCACCCGGTGAGAAGGCTATCCCAACCCTTGGTTCACTCCCCCAGCCCTGGGGTTTCCTCCAGGAGATTTGCATGTACATTCAGGGACTGCATTTACACGTCGTTTCCTCTGCTGGACTGCAGTTCCCGTGAGAGTAGAGACTCATCTACGCTGTCCTTTTCTATACCTGCGTATTTACCATTTACCGTGGCTCCTGGCACATAGAAAGAACTCAATAAACATCTGTTAAACAAATGAAATGGGCCTTACTAACAACGAATTGCAGGCCACCGAAGTCCTGAGTTCGAACTCTGACAGCGGTGGTGGTAGAGAAGTCACCTCTGTAAGTTACTGAAGTCTCTGAGCATCGCTCTGCTCAAAACTGCAGGTCCGTCGGAAGGATCAAATGCAACTAGTTAGATATGTGAGAGCACTCAATGCTCAATGCATGTCAGTGTTTTCTCCTTCCCTTCCCTTCCCTTCCCCGGAGCCGGGCCCCTCGGAGTCACCATGCAGGCTTCCTCCGGACAGGCGGCCCCAGAGGCGAGGCGCAGGACTCACCGGAGGGGGTTTTGGGCCGCGGTGGGAACAAAGCTCGGCCGGTGGAAGTGCTCCCGCCCTCGCTCCGCTGGGGTGCTTTGGAGTTGGCCTTCCCTCCTTCAGATGGTTTCAAGGCTCCAGAGAAGTGAAAATAAAGCCCTTCTTTTGAAAGGCCGGGGAGCCTGTGTGGCGGAGCCTGCACAGAGCGCTTGTTGTTCGGGGCGATGAGGGGGACGGTGGTGGCTGACCAGACCCTTTGATTCCTCCTCTCCTTCCTTCCTCCTTCCGACGGCCTGCGACAGGCAGCCGGTCTCACAGCAGCACCCTCAGCGGCAGCGACCTTCCGTCATGGGGACGCTCGCTGAAACAGCCCTGGCTCCGGTCTTCCGAAAGAAATGGGAACACGCCCGTTGCCATTCTCAGCATGTTGCCTAGGTGGTCCCTGTTAGTCCTTACACCATCCCCGCTAGGTGCTGCTGCCAGCCCCCACCCCACCGCGTCTCTGAGGAAGGGTGCACAGAGGTGTGAGTGACTCACCGGAGATCACCTGGTCGGGGGGTGGGGGGGTGTTTGCCCCTGGAGTCTGTCTTCTTTAACCACACGATCAAGCTGCCACCTCCCAGTGTCAAGGGCAATGTGAGGACTGGGGGGAAGTGCCCCCAGTTTTAGCCCCTTTTTGATGGGACGGGAATGTCAAACATAGTCTAGGAAGAGCATGGACTTTCTACTGAGGTCAGCAGTGAGGCTGGCCAGTGAGGATGTTCGCACGATCTAGTTGTACCAGCTCACACTCAGCCAGAGGTTCGGAGTGAGCGAGTTTTCTAAAGCTGGCTGCTTGTGACCAGCTGGGAAGGGGCACGGAAAGACAATGTATATGAATCTCCAGTCTGTGTACCAGTGCTCAGAGGAGAGGCCTGCCTACAGACAGCCCAGTCGGAGATGGTCGTGTAAGTAACTCTTCTAGCGCTATCCACAGCATGCTTCTGAATACACAGAAGTCATTGACTATTTACAGATTAAAAACTGAGCAAGAGTCTACTACTCCTGGACATTGTTAAAGGCTTAGTCTGTCATCACCTTTAGAATAATGGTCCCGTGCAATTTAACAGAAGGAGCAAAGGCTTTGTGTTGAAATAGGGATGGGTGAGGACACGGCCACCACACCTGTTTCTACGGGATGCTTTTGTAGCACCACCCCCTCTGGTAGCATTGCTATGTGTAGCGTCAAAAGAGATCACGTGTGAGATGATATAAAAATGCCCAGCACGATGCCTGGCACACAGGTGGTGCCTGCCAATTGTTAGCACCCCCTTCACGTACCCCTTTTTAGGAGAATCGGTCACCGAGGAGGAAATCAAAAACAAGGGTCGCCCACCTGACATCACAGTTCAAAGCCAGAGTGGACGGCAAACATTTCCCATGAGACACTGGGAACTTCCCGAGGAAACCCCGCACGCAGCCACTGGCAGTTTGCAAACGGGTTTCACCCTCCGCACCTCGAGGTGCAGCCGACACGGTTTCAAACGTTTCCTCTTAACCTCCATCCAGCGCAGATGCTGCCGGGTCGTTTTCTTTCTCTCCGAAGAAATGGAGAAGCAGATAAGTCCCCCTTTTATTTAGCAGACGTTCAGACGCAGCGTGAGACAGATGAGACCTGGGTTTGGATTTCAGCAGACGGGGCGGAAACCCCCACTGGGTCACTCCCCGGCTACTCGGTCCTGGGCAAGTTGGCTGATCTCTCAATGCCTTGCTCTCTTCGGTAGATACAGCATTTATAAGACAGATTCAATGAGATACACGTGTTTAGCCTTTGTAGTGCATGCTTGATCAATTACAGTCGCCGATTTTTAATTATTTGGGTGTGCCTAATGAGGACGGTGGAGATTTCACAGACTGTCCGAGCTGG